CTTCCAACCTAGTAAACTTTTTATTTCGAAGATTTTTCATTTTCTTGTGTTTCTTCTCCAACTTTATCACACATTCGGGACGTCAGAAGCGATAAAGATGATAATACACTAGGCATGTCGTTTTAAAGTCAACATCACAAACCTCTCGTGTCCCATTTCAACTCCCGTGCTCAATATATAGTGTTCCCGACCAATGAAACTACCGAAGACTTGCGTCAAGAATTCAAATAATAAACAATAAATACATCAATTTTTATCGCACAAAAAGAAATCATAATTAATCATAATATACAGTCTCAATAAATACAATATTACTTTCGCAGTTATATATTTAAAGTGATACGCGATTGGCGAGCTGACGGCGTGTTCCTTCCGTGATTAATTCCAATTAATTTTCAACCCGCAAAATTTCGCCAAACACACTTCTTTTTGCTCGCCCGCGCAGTCCATCATTAAAAGAGCCGCGATTGGTCAGGGACGTATCCTGTATATAACAGAGTATTCGCATACATATATATATATATATATACTATACGTGTATGTATGTGTGATGTGTATGTGTGTATGTACATACATGCACCGTATGTATATACACAAGCATACATGTACGCGTGCAGTAGGTGCATCGTATGTACACGTGCGATTTACCCCAGGAGATTCGTACATAGTTTTGCACATATACATAAGCGGGAGGCGTTTGTTGAACCGTGCAAATCTTCTGCTCGGTGCACCAACACGGACAAAGTGCGTTCGCGCGCGCAGCATCTCTCTCTGTCTCTGTCTCCTCTCCCTATCCATCTCGCTCTATGCATATGGCTCTTCGTCTCCTGCCCATTAGCGAACGCTCCTACGTAACTCGTCGCGAGCTATTCGCGCTAGCTCGGCCGAACCGGCGTATTTTCCTGTCTTTCTCGCACACGACATACATACAAGTATCCTTCTTTCTCTTTTCCCTTCTTTCTCGTTCTCCCCGTCTCTCTCACTCTCTCTCTCTCACTCTCTATCCAACGACAGAACTTACGCACGTCTTAGACATGCATGAAGTCATGTACGTATCTGCGAGTATCTTCAGCTCACTCTATCTTTCCTGCGACGACTTTTTTTCTTTCTCTTTCTCCCCGCCCCGTCTATTAAGCGCACACGGACGCATTTTTCTCCCTCTTTTCCCTTTCGCCGTCTCTGTTCAACTAAAACCAGGCTCATAGTGTGATTTATTTCTCTCTCTCTCTCACTTCTTTCTCTTTTTCTCTCTTTTAGCCTTCCGTCTCTTTCTCCGTTCAACTCTCTTGGATACAGTCGGATACACACGTAGACTCTCACACACAATCCTCCGTCTTCCCTCTTTCCTTCCCATCCCCCTTTCCTACCATCGTCCTTATCTCCGTCCTTGGCCATCGTGCGTGCACGCATGCCGACTATCTCCGTCGATCGTCAGTATATACACGCGATCTCTTCCTCTCTTTGTTGCGAGCAGCGGCGAACACGGATACCGCGTGTGCGCGCGAGAGATGCGGCGAGAAACAGGGAGGGTAGTGAGTGAAAGGGAGATGGAGAGAGGTAGAGGTAGAGGTAGAGGTAGAGGTAGAGAGAGAGAGAGAGAGAGAGAGAGAGAGAGAGAGAGAGAGAGAGAGAGAGAGAGGAAGAGAGAAAAAGCGAGAACGAAGACGAGGGAGAAAAAGAGAGGGAAATGATGAGGGTGGACGAGGAGAGGGCTCGCCTGGCGCACCATGGGCTTTTCTTGTATTCTATTGATTTTTCCAAAAGTTCGTGGTGGGAGTCTGGTAGTCTGTAGTGCGCGAGCTTGACGGCCCAGTGTGCATCCGCTGGCGTGTGTGTAGATCGTGTGTATGTGTATGTGGGCTTCGACGATGTCGCTGTCGCTGTTCAACCGACTGGATCCCTCTTTCTCGCGTGCTAGTCTTATCCCCTCCCCTCCCCCTCTCCCCCTCCTTTAGGCTGATCTCTCCTCTTTCTCGTTCGCGAAGCGACGATCTTCGTCCAACCTCGCGCCGTCCTTCTCTCACGCGCGCATGTTTCACACACACCCGTTGGATCTCCTTCTCCCTCAATCCCTTTCTCTTCCTCCCACGCGTGAACATCACCCCCCTCGTCCTCCCTGACCATTACATCCCTCTCGCTCGTTGATTCCCCCCTTGTCTCTCGCCTTCTGGGGCCTCCTCTCTCGTGGCAACCTGGCTATGCGCACACATACACATGCGTGCGCGCGCGCGCGCACACGCACACGCACACGTACACACGGACACGTGTCGCTCCAGGCAGGAGCGTGTCAAGAGGTTTTGGCTTTGACGCCCTTGAGAGAGAGAAGAGCGAACGCCTGATATGTAGAATTTCATCGTGGCTTCCTGAAGACTATTTTGGAAATTTAATCAGAAGAAAGTCTATGAATTATCGCGTGGAACATTATAAAATCTGGTATATGAGATTTCGTATTATTCATTACATAGATTATCTAATAACAAAATTATTCGTAAGATGATAGAAACGTAATTAATATAATACAATTGCTCGTGAAATTCTTTTAAAGTACATGTAGAAAAGTTTTTATGTAATAATAAAACTATGTATGAAAATTAGACGATAATAAGAGATTCGTAGTGTTGGATGTTCAAAACGAAGAATAAAAAGAGAATGTGGTAGATGTTGGCGAAAGAAGACGGATTTCGATAGTCAACAAACTTAGCCAAAACGCGATATTTGTTTTGTTCGATCGCACTTTCTAACGCATTCCGTGTTTGAAACAAAACAGGTATATATACGCGGAAAAGAGAGAAGTGCGAGAGGAGAGAGAAAACAGATATAAAAGTAAGACTCGGAGAGAGAAACGTACAAGGCACGATAACGTTTCGTTCACGAGAAGAGCGCAAACTTCTTCTCGCAAAAGTCGCACGGCAAAATATGTATTGTATTACTCCTGGTAACTCCTTCGACGAGATATTAAAGAGCAACGAGACGTAGCTGCGCATTTCTCGCGAGTGCGCCGAATTCTCGAAGATCCTCGCTACGCCCCTGATTTTCCACCCACTCATCCAGCACGGCAGGGTCACCGTATGCACCCATACCGTGCCACGCACCCACACACGTGCACGCGCGCGTACTCACATGTACGCAGGCACACATGCGTTTTCTCCGTTCCTCTCTTTCTCGCGCTTGCTCCGTCGCAACACATCCTCGCGCACCGCGGTCGCGCGCACTGTACACATCGCACACGACGACATCGAACAACTAAATACACGGACGCAACGCGAACGTGGACACGTAGTACGTGTGCACGCAGAGATATTGTACGTGCTGACGCATACGCACAACGTAACGGCGAGCGCGGTGCGCTATGGCGACGGCGACGGCGGTGGCGGTGGTCGTGCATCCAGGCGGAGCGGAATATAGGCAGACGGACCGGTGTGCCAGGGCGAAGGCGAGCGGACACAGCGATGACCGGCGATGACTATACGATCGATAATTCGAATCGATTATTAATAAGAACCGCCGGGGCGAGGAGGGCGGGGAAAAAAGGAGATCGATCTCGCGCGGGTGCTGGACCTTCGTCCGATATTTTCGTGGTCTTCTTTCTCCCTCCCCCTCCCACCCCCTCTTATCCTTTTTTTTCCTTTTTTTTTTCTTTGTTTCTTCGTTCGCTGACCGCGCACGTACACACGAGGTTTATTTTGGTTACACGAGGCACACCGCGGCGCACCGTCGTCGTGTCCCGCGGAGAGAACGGAATCGAAAATCAACTCTGGGGAATAATAATTCAGTTCGATTCTCCCCGAGCGAGATCGATCGCGCCGCTCGCGATCGACGACGACGACGACGACGATGACGACGACTAACGGCGATGATGAGGAATGAGGCGAGCCGCATCGCGACGTGGCCGATTAATACCGCAATCGTTAATTGTTTATCGGCGTCGCCGGGATTACATTGCGAGGAGTAATGAAAACGTAGGGAAAATATAGGTGTGTGTTATTAGAGATGTATATACATATATATCCGGCAAAACCGATTGTTAATTTTGAATCTGCCCGTTTCAGTCGCACTTAAGCATTTCATCCTCTCCGCTATTCTCTAAACCCGTATATATACGTAAACTTATTTTATATTCAATTCGAAACTCTCGCGCACAATCAGAGAATTCAAAATGCATCATCTTAAACGAGCTCCTATTCGAGAAACGTTCGGGTAACTTATTTAGGCAACGATCGCATCGTCATTATCTAGCATCTGTAAAAAAATCTTGGAATTGGCAAAGAATAAACTACTTAGGATTAAACAAAGTATAAGAAAATGTAAATAAAATAAATGAAGAGATGTTATTTTATTCATCGAAACAGACTTCAATTGCTGAAAATTATTCTTATATCGAGCTTAAAAATTCGCAACTTCCTGATATTTCTGGTAGATGCTAACACTCGTAATATAGCATCATTGATGTAATTTTGAGCACGAAGCATCATAATACGTTGACCCCGCGAAGTATTTTCAGTAATCGAAATTAAGAATGCATCATCTAAATCCAAACTCGTCGTCGAACTGTTTGCAATATTTATGGCCTTCTTTACAGCAACTGCTACTCGGCGTTGTACATACTTGTCGCAAACTTTCTGCCGACGATAATCGCTCGTAACTTTACACATGTACACCTGAACCAAACAGAACTGAATCGAATCGAGTGTTCTTCATCTAAGAAGTGCTCCATTACACACAGACAGTAGTAGTAATGTATTTCGAAGAGCCGTATTTACGACCACGAAACTGTCAAGCATTGTCAATAGATTACAAAAGCCAATATAAGATGTACTAACGGAGAGGACAAAGGTGAGGATGAAAATGAGGAGTAAGACGAAATGAAGATAAAGGTAAAGATGAAGATAAGATGGAGATGCCTCAAGGAGGCTCGCTAGTGTAGAATCTAAAAAAAGATCACCTACGTAAATATGTGAGCGCGAACCCGTCTTCCCCGGTCGCATCTTCAAGAATCTTACCATTGCAACATCCTCACGCAAATACAATCTTGTCGCTCGCGCGCGAGAGCTAATTTGCATAATGTCCTCGGTCCATAGGTGGAAAGGACGTACCGATCCGTTGTAAATTCGGCCCTGGCTTCGTCGTTGGCTGCTACACGCGCGGAGAGTGACCGTTATACGCTCGTCTCTCTCCCTCTCTCTCTCTCTCTCGCTCTCTCTTTCTCTCTCCGCGGTAGTGCCTTATCGTCGATGCGGCCGACGTAGCCGCGTACCGGGTAACGATCGCGCGGGCTGCACTTACGATCGATCTATCTCAATCGATCGCCAGGGCGCGTGCCATGATTTACCATCGATCGCCGGCGATCGATTAACCCTGTCGAGTCCGCTCATCGACTATCCTTGGCCGCGAGCGGGACGAGGACAGTCGTAAAAAGAAAAAAAACAAAAATGGAGGATGCAAAGAATGAGAGACGTACGAAGAAAGAAGAAGAAAGACGGGGAGAAAGAGGGCGAAAGAGGAGGGCGGTGGGTGTGGGAGGTGGATGAGTGTGACGGACGAGAAGAGAGAGACAAGAGGAGGAGGAGGAGAAGGGGAGCGGAATAAGGGAGATGAAACGATCATGGGAGAAAAGGAGGGAAGACGAGCGACAAAGAGAGAGAGGAAGCGCACGTGCGTGGGAGAGAGAGGAAGAGGAAGAAACGGAGAAGTACATTTGAGGAGCGAGAGGGAAGGAAGAGGGAAAGGAGGATGAGGGTTTAATGGTAGAGAGAGAGAGAGAGTGAGAGGCAGTCGGACGTGCGCACGATAAAAGAGAGAGAGAGAGAGAGAGGAAAAGAGACGGGCGGAAGAGACAGGAAAGGAGGGACGGGAGAGAGAGAGAGAGGGAGAGAGGGAGATCGGCGTGAGTGGAAAGTAGCAAAGGACAGACTATGCCGGACCAGCCACAGCCGCCGCCGCCTCCACCACCGCCTCCACCGCCTCCACCGCCGTGAGGCTTCGAACCCGAACACGACCGAGCGTCGTCGAGCAACAACGGAAACGTACGAGCGGTGCGGTTCGAGCGGCCGAGCAAGCGATACGGTCGAGCAGTGCGGTGCCGACTCTTGCTGCCGCGGTTACAGATTCTGCGGTGTGTGTGTGCGCGCGTGTTTACACGACGAGAGGGAGAGAAAGAGAAAGAGAGAGAGAGGGACAGGGAGAGTTTGCGCCGCGGAGGCGAGGGCAGGAGAACTCGAAAGAGAGAGAGAGAGAGAGAGAGAGAGAGAGAGAAAAAGAGGAGAGGCACTCGCGAGAGCAGAGGAGAAACGTAAAAAGCGGCGGAGAAGTCTGCGAGTCGTCCGCGAAACACGGTTCGTGTACGCGCGTGTTGCGTCGAGCAAGTCCCTCTCGGAGGAAGATTTCACGCAGCACTACGAGATTGTGCGAGTAGTATTGTACGCACGAAATACGCACGGAATACGTACACGGTACGCCTCTCTCAGTTCGGCTCGTGATATATCGTTCGGCGTAGTATCGCGAGGTATCGCGAGTTATCGGCACGAACAACAACGCTCGACGGAGTCGACGGCGGAGAGCGGAGAGACGTCATCGTAAGAAACGTCGCACCGCGCAGTGTCGTCGGTGCTTGGCGCGACGTGACCGGCACGCACACGCCGTGAGGAGCGCGAGAACCACTAACGATAACGCGCCAACCACCCTCGCGCGCGATTGCATTTAGCGGGGCGTGGGTGCACCACACCGCGCTGCGCCACGCCACGCCACACCACACCGCACCGCACCGCACCGCACCGCATCGCATCGACGGCTACGGCGGTGCGGCGGGGCGGCGGCGGGCGGGGGGCGGAATTCAAAAGGTGCGCGCGACGGCCGCGGCGAGAACATGACAGACGACACGGAGTGCGTGAATTTGAGGCGGCATTGTGTCGCGGGTGAAGGGACGATAATATAAACGTAGTGAGGCAGAAGAGAAGAACGGTGGGAAGCGAAGAGAAAGAGAAAGAGTGAGAGAAGGAGAGGACGCACGCAAGGCCGAGGGGAGAGAAACTCCTCCGAGAAAGAAAGCTCCCAATCCCCAAACGAAGTACATCCGCGCGGCCAGTGATCCCGTGTGCGGCTCGCGTGTTGTGCGCGTCCGCGCCTTTCGTGAGTGTGTGTTAGTGCGAGCGGACCCAGACCGCGCGCGCGCACGCGAGTGGGCCCAGGAGAAGAGAGGAAAGAGAGAGGAGAGCAGAGAGACTTTTGTGGCTTCCGGCCTGTCGGCGCGGAGGCGTTCCGGCTGGCGATCGCGGTCTCGCGGAGAGGATGCTGGTAACGTCGCCGACGGTCGTTACGACGAGGGTAACGACGATGACGACTTCTCGGGGTCTCGACTGAGTTCTCGACTCTCGGGATTCACCGAGAGGGAGAGAAAGAGAGAGAGAGGGGGGAGAGAGAGAGAGAGAG